AGCCGCAAGGCCGGCTCGGGGCCAAGACGCCTGCAGCCTCCTTGAGTCTCTGCTCCCCACGTAGGGCGCCGCCCGGCGTCCCCGGCACGCTTTTTCCCGCTCGGGGGGGAGAAGCGAACGAGAGGGAGGAGACGGCGCGAGGTGGCTGAGCGGTGTGGGTCAGCTTGGCTCCGGCCGCGGGGGACTACCGGTCCATCTCATCCAGGAGCGGGGTGGCGTCTCCGGCCACGGACATGGGCGTGCTCTCGATCATGGGGCTGGGCGAGGGCCGAGGGGTCAGCCGCTGCTTCTGCTTCCGGCGCTCGGCCTCCTTCTCCTGCAGCCACTGTTCGGCCATCTTGCCCCAGTCGATGGGCACCTGGGAGCTGGACCTGCCGAGGAAATGGGGGAGGCCATGAGGACTGGTGGCATGGCTCCCTTCAGCAGCGGCTGCGTCCTATGGGGGGGGCGTCCTATTGGCTGGGGTGTCCAAGCTTGGCCCCTTTAAGACTGGTGGACTTCAACTCCCGGAATTCTATCCCATCCTATTCTATATTCCATTCTATTATTCTACTCTACTCTACTCTATTCCATTCCATATTTTCTATTCTATTCCTATTTTAATTCTATTCTATTTTATTCCATATTCTATTCTATTCTATTCTATTCTATTCTATTCTATTCTATTCTATTCTATTCTATTCTATTCTATTCATTGTTATTTCTATTCTAATTGTTATTTCTATTCTATTCTATTCTATTCTATTCTATTCTATTCTATATTTTCTATTCTATTCCTATTTTAATTCTATTCTATTTTATTGCATATTCTATTCTATTTTATTCTATTCTATTCTATTTCATATTTTCTATTCTATTCTATTCTATTCTATTCTATTCTATTCTATTCTATTCTATTCTATTCTATTCTATATTTTCTATTCTATTCCTATTTTAATTCTATTCTATTTTATTGCATATTCTATTCTATTTTATTCTATTCTATTCTATTTCATATTTTCTATTCTATTCTATTCTATTCTATTCTATTCTATTCTATTCTATATTTTCTATTCTATTCCTATTTTAATTCTATTCTATTTTAATTCTATTCTATTTTATTCCATATTCTATTCTATTCTATTCTATTCTATTCTATTCTATTCTATTCTATTCTATTCTATTCTATTCTATTCTATATTTTCTATTCTATTCCTATTTTAATTCTATTCTATTTTAATTCTATTCTATTTTATTCCATATTCTATTCTATTCTATTCTATTCTACTCTACTCTATTCTATTCTAATCTGATGATGTTCCCTAGTTGGGTTATGAAACGTCTGCAAGAAAACCCCCCAGCTCAGAGAGCACCAAGGACCCCACAGTCCTCCTCCTCCTCCACTCTGCAACCCCCCCCTTCTAGCACTGAGGGTGTTCCCTCGCTTGGGTCATGGAAGAGTCTGCAAGGGAACATCCAAGCTCAGAGGACCCCCAGGTCAACCCTGAGCCACAGACGCTCCCCCGGGTTGACCTGGAAGCCCCCTTCTGCAGGGGGGGCTGCTGGGCACCCGGCCCCGGCTTCTCCCCCAGGTGAGGCCCCTTCCTGGCAAGGCTTCCCCCTAAACCCAGCCCAAGGGCATATGCAGAGATTCCCCGCTGGGGAGGGAAAGTCACCCGGTGAAGGGATTGCAATCCCCCCCCCATCCATCAGCTGGGTCCATCAAGAAGAACCAAGCTAAAGAGGAAAGGAGCCCCTTTGTTCCTTGAAATGGGGTCCCCCAAAGTGCTTTTCCCAAAAAGGCAACTGGACTTTCTTGGGTTTTTCCTTGAAAACATTTCGCTTCTCCTTCAAGAAGCTTCTTCGGTTCTTCAGACGTCCTTCCTTCTTTGTCTGTCTGTCTGTCTGATCTGCCACTCAATTGGCCTTTCTTTCTTTTCTTTCTTTCTTTCTTTCTTTCTCTTTCTTTTCTCTTTCTTTCTCTTTTCTTTCCCCTTCCTTCCTTCCTTCCTTCCTTCCTATTTCTTTCTCTCTATTTCTTTTTCTTTCTTTTCTTTCTTTCCTCTTCCTTCCTTTCTTTCCCCCCTTCCTTCCTTCCTTCCTTCCTTTCTTTTTCTTTCTTTCCACTTCCTTTTTTTCTTTCTTTTCTTTCTTTCCTTTCCCCTTCCTTCCTCCCTCTTCTTTCTCTTTTTTCTTTTCCCTTCCTTCCTTCCTTCTTACCTTCTTTTTCTTTTTTCTTTCCCCTTCCTTTCTTCCTTTTTTCCCCTTCCTTCCTTCCTTTCTTTCTCTTTCCTTTTTTTCCTTTGTTTTTCTTTTCTTTCTTTCTTTCTTTCTTTCTTTCTTTCTTTCTTTCTTTCTTTCTTTCTTTCTTTCTTTCTTTCTTTCTTTCTTTCCCCTTCCTTTCTTTCTCGCTCTCTCTCCTTATCTCTCTCTTTCCTTCCTTCCTCCCTCCCTCCCTCCCCTCTCTCCCCCCCCTCTGAAGAACTGAAGAAGCTTCTTGGATGAAAAGCAAACCATTTTCAGGAAAAAAAGCACCTTTGGGACAACCAGGAGGGTTGAGAATCTCCCCAGCCCCCTTCAGAGGGGATGTGACCCAGGAGCCCCCCCTTCCCAGGCCCCAGAAGGAGAGGTGCCCCCTGCCCCCCCCATTCTCCCAGCCAGGCCTGGCTTCCATGGGCTGCTCAGACAGGCAGCCAGCCGGCCAAGGGGAGCGGAGCCTCGGAGGGGGTCCCTGGAGCGCCCTCCCACCCACCCCACTTGTGGGGGGGGGGGAGGTCTTGCTTACTTGGGGGGCTGCCGTTGCCCGGAGCTGGAGGAAGGCTGCTGTGAGGGCGGCTGAGACTGGGTGGACTGGGGGGTGGTGCTGGCCTGGAGCTGGTGGTACTGGGGGGTGGTGATGGGCTGGCTGGGGGTGGTGTAGGAGTAGCTGGGGGTCAGCAAAGGGGTGGCCACCGGCTGCTGGGCGGGCGTGGTGAAGACCTGCAATGGAAGAGAGACACGTCACAAGTCAGGGGCGCAGAGGGGCCGCTGTGCAGAAACCCTGACTTACAACCGTTCGTTTAGTGACCGTTAAAAAAAAGTGACTTATGACCATTTCTCACACAACCACTGCCATGTCCTTTTGGTCGCCTGATCAAAATTGGCAACTGGCATGTACTTACGACGGTTGCGGTGTCCCGGGGGTGTGTGTCACGTGATTCCCCCTTTGGTTCGCTTAAACCACCAGAGTGATTTGCTTAGCAGCTGAGGCAAACGGTCATAAAATGGGGCACGACTCGCTTAACAAGACCCCCCCGCCCATCTTACTCAACAATGGAAACTTTGGGTTCCGTTGCGGTCGTTAAGTGGAGGACTGCCTGCAGCCAGAAGACGCGCCCCCCCGTTGGGCACAGGGCCTCTGGGCAGAACAGCTGCCCCGCTGCCCCAGCTGAGGTGGGGCACTGCCGGGCGACTCGGCTGGGCCCCCGACCCCTTCCGCCCACTCACGTGGTATGCGCTGCTGCCTCCGCCGCTGCCCCCGTAGCCGTACTGGCTGGAAGCCCACTGTGCAGGGGTGGCGTTGGCGTTTTGGCCCTGGCCGGTCACGGCAGCGATGGCGCTGAACATCTGAGAGGTCATGTTTTGCGGCAAGGCGTTGACGGCTCGGGTCAGGTCTGCGGGGAGAGAGGGGGGGAAGGCGGTTAGATGGGGAGGGTCTCCAACCTTGGCCCCTTGACGACGTGCGGACTTCAACTCCCAGAATTCCCCAGCCAGCTATAGCTGGCTGGGGAATTCTGGGAGTTGAAGTCCACACGTCGTCAAGGGGCCAAGGTTGGAGACCCCTGGGTTAGATCTCTCTCTCTCTCTCTCTCTCTCTCTCTCTCTCTCTCTCTCTCACACACACACACACAGACACACACACACACACCAGGGAGGGTGGTGGTGCCCCGCGGCCTCTGCCGAGACTCACCTGCGAGGTTGATGTTGGCAGGGGTGGCGTTGATGGAGGCGGGCGTCCGGGTTCGGCTGCTGCTGCTGGGAGTGACACCTGAGCAGGGAGGGGGGGGGAAAGAGGGAGGAACAGTCAGGTGAGAGACAGGTGAGTGGTCCAGGTAAGAGCGTCAGCCAGCCGGCCGCTGGCTGGGATATTCCTCTCTCTGGCTGGGCTGGCGCACGCGAAGGGAGCAGCCCAGAGCTGTGGGCCGATTGGAAGGGGGCCTCTGGCTCCGCTGGGCAGGAAGCGGACCGCCAGGGAAGGGGATTCTGGACTTTGTAGTTTTCTGGACAGAGTAGGAGGAGCATCATCCTCAACAGGCACGGTTGACTCAGCTTTCCATCCTTCGGTAAAAGGAGATGGTTGGGGGCAAATAGGCTGGAACTCTGTAAACCACTTAGGGAGGGTTGTAAAGCACCGTGAAGCGGTATATAAGTCTAAGTGCTGCTGCTTGGGAAGGAAGGAAGGAAGGAAGGAAGGAAGGAAGGAAGGAAGGAAGGAAGGAAGGTGAGAAGGAAGGAAAGAAAGGAATGAAGGAACATGAGAAGGAAGGAAGGAAAGCAAGGAGAAGGAAGGAAGGAAGAAGGAAGGAAAGTGAGAAGGAAGGAAGGAAGGAAAGAAAGAAAGAAAGAAGGAAAGTGAGAAGGAAGGAAAGGAAGGAAAGTGAGAAGGAAGGAAGGAAAGCAAGGAGAAGGAAGGAAGGAAGGAAAGTGAGAAGGAAAGAAAGGAAGGAAGGAAAACAAGGAGAAGGAAGGAAAGGAAGGAAAGTGAGAAGGAAGGAAAGAAGGAAGGAAAGGAAAGAACGAAGGAAAGCAAGGAAGGAAGGAAAGTGGGAAGGAAGGAAGGAAGGAAGGAAAGTGAGAAAGAAGGAAGGAAAGCAGCTGTGCGTGGCGCAGTGGTTAGAATGAAGCACTGCAGGCTGACTCTGCCCACAGCCAGGAAGTTCGATCCTGACCGGCTCCAGGTTGACTCAGCCTTCCGTCCTTCCGAGGTGGGTAAAAGGAGGACCCAGGTGGTTGGGGGGAAACTGGCTGACTCTGTAAACCGCTTAGGGAGGGCTGTGAAAGTACTATGAAGAGGCCTGTAAGACTAAGTGTTGTTGCTATTGCTATCTTCTTTGTGGCAACTCCTCAATCCTGGAAGACTGCTTGCTATTAGCTGTGGCCCCAGGAACTCAGAGGCACCAGCGGGCCCTTTCAAGGGGCAGCTGCAGGGCAGGGAACCAGCCCCCCAGTCCATGGCCGGAGCCAGCAGCAGCATCGCCCACCCCCCAGCCCTGTTAGCCTTCCGTAAAGCAGTTAAGGACGGGGCTATGCTCCAGAGCCTGGGGGGGCCACACACGCCGGGGCCCCCGACTCCTGGCTCCATGGTTAGCAGGCCGGGTGTCTGGCTCGGTATGCGCTCAAATTAGACATTTTAACGGTTTTTACTGCTTTTGCTATTTTAAAATGTTTTTTAAGAATTCAAGTATAACCCATGTTTTTGAATCGTGGGCCACCCAGAATAGTTTGCTGAGATGGGCGGCTATGCAAATGAAATCAAATCAAATCAAAAATAAAAAAATGAATAAATAAAAAACATCCTTCCAGGCCGAGGCAGGGAAGGCGCTCCCTGGCTTTCCTCTGCTCAGAGCCGTTTGCTGAGATGGGGGGCTACAGAAATCAGCCAGCCAGCCAGCGTCAGTTAGCCAGTCAGTGTCACCCAGTCAGTGAGTCAGTGTCAGTGAGTCAGTGTCAGTCAGCCAGTCAGTGTCAGTTAGTCAGTGTTAAGTCAGTGAGTCAGTGTCAGTCAGTCAGTGAGTCAGTGTCAGTGAGTGAGTCAGTGTCAGTCAGTACCAGCCAATCAGTCAACCAGTGTCAGCCAGTCAGTGAGTCAGTGTCAGTCAGTGAGTGAGTCAGTGTCAGTCAGTGAGTCAGTGTCAGTGAGTCAGTGTCAGTCAGCCAGTCAGTATCAGCCAATCAGTGTCAGCCAGTGATTGAGTCAGTGTCAGTGAGTGAGTGTCAGTGAGTGAGTCACTGTCAGTCAGCCAGTCAGTGTCAGCCAGTCAGTGAGTCAGTGTTGTCAGTGAGTCAGTGTCAGTGAGTCAGTGTCAGCCAGTCAGTCAGTGTCAGTTAGTCAGTGTCAGTCAGTGTTAAGTCAGTGAGTCAGTGTCAGTGAGTGAGTCAGTGTCAGTGAGTGAGTCAGTGTCAGTCAGTATCAGTCAGCCAGTCAGTACCAGCCAATCAGTCAACCAGTGTCAGCCAGTCAGTGTCAGCCAGTGAGTCAGTGTCAGTCAGTGAGTGAGTCAGTGTCAGTCAGTGAGTCAGTGTCAGTCAGTGTCAGTCAGCCAGTCAGTATCAGCCAATCAGTCAGCCAGTGTCAGCCAGTCAGTGAGTCAGTGTCAGTCAGTGTCAGCCAGTCAGCCAGTCAGTGTCAGCCAGTCAGTGTCAGCCAGTGATTGAGTCAGTATCAGTGAGTGAGTGTCAGTGAGTGAGTCACTGTCAGTCAGCCAGTGTCAGCCAGTCAGTGAGTCAGTGTTGTCAGTGAGTCAGTGAGTGAATCAGTCAGTCAGTGTCAGTCAGCCAGTCAGTGTCAGTCAGCCAGTCAGTGTCAGTCAGCCAGTCAGTGTCAGTCAGTCAGTGTCAGTCAGTCAGAGTCAGTGTCAGTGAGTCAGTGTCAGTCACTTAGTCACTGTCAGCCAGCCAGCCAGTCAGCCAAACTAACCAACCAACCAACCAACCAACCAGGCCGAGGCAGGGAAGGTGCTCCTTGGCTTTCCTCTGCTCAGAGTTGTTTGCTGAGGTGGGTGGCTATACAAATCAGCCAATCAATCAACCAACCAACCAATCAATCAAACCCACCCTTCCAGGCCGAGGCAAGGAAGGCGTTCCCTGGCCTTCCTCCGGTTCAGCTGCTCCACAGGGCAACAGCTGCTGCATGGAGGAGCCCAGAGAGCGACCGGGGGGGGGGGGGGGGGGGGGGGGGGGGGGGGGGGGGGGGGGGGGGGGGGGGGGGGGGGGGGGGGGGGGGGGGGGGAGAGAGGAGGAGGAGGAGGCACCTGGGCCTTACCTGGGACGGGGTCCTGGTAGTGATCCTTGAACCACCGGAAGAGGCCGTTGACCGTGGGGAAGATGTGGTTGCGGTACCGGAATCCCTCTGGCGTCACCGTCACGTACTCGATTCTGTGGCGAGAGACTCTTGTGGCAACTCTGGCCAAGGTGGGCTGTCGGGCCAGCCTAGGGGGAGGGTCAAGAGGCCCACCCCCCCAGCCTTCTGACCCTGGCTTGCCTGTTTGCCAAAAGAAGCCAGGAAGGCAGAGACCGGAGTGGGCAAGCATGGGAGACCTCCCAGGGCGCCTGTCAGGTCCCAGAGGCTGCAGACCAGCTCCTGAGAGGGGAGCTCCTCCGCCTGCCATCCCCCCTCCGGCACTTGGGGGAAGGGGGCCTGGGGAAGGGGCTTCCCTCCGCTCTGGGTGCGGGAGGCCCTGGGGTCGACCCCTGGGGACCCCCCTGAAAAGGCCGCTGGGCCTAGCCAAGGAGCGGCCGAAGGGCCTGACTGACCGGCGCTGGTCCGGGAGGGGGGGGACAATGGGGAGGGGGGGGCAGACCCACCTGGGCTTCCCTCGGGGCTGGTAGCCCAGCAGGAACTTCCCCGGAAGGTCCTTGCAGGCGCAGATGAAGTAGGGGATGAAGGTGGGCTTCTCCTTCTTGGTCTTAATCAGCAGCTCCTCCAGTCTCTGAGGGAGGGGAGAGAGAGAAGGGGAGGGAGGGAGACAGAGGGAGGGAGGGAGGACAGAGGAGAGGAACAGAAAGGGAGGGAGAGGGAGGGAGAGAGGAGAGGGAGAGAGGAGAGGAAGGGAGAGAGGGAGAGAGGAGGGAGAGAGGAGAGAGAGAGAGGGGAGGGAGAGAGAGAGAAGAGAGGGAGAGAGAGGAGAGGGAGAGAGGAGAGGAAGGGAGAGAGAGGGAGAGAGGAGAGGGAGAGGGAGAGAGAGGAGAGGGAGAGAAAGGGAGGGAGAGGAGAGGGAGGGAGAGAGAGAGAGGGAGAGAGAAAGGAAGGGAGGGAGAGAGGGAGAGAGAGAAGGAGAGA